CCTTTGCCCATTTCTTAATTGGGTTGTTTGTCTTCCTCTTGCTGAGTGCTATGAGTTCTTTGTACACTTTGGAAATTAGCCCCTTATCAGATACATCCTTGGCAAATATGTTTTCCTAGACCCTGAGGTTCCTTTGTATTTTGAGGCTGTTTTGCTGTGCAGAAGCTTTTTAGTTTGATGTAGTCCCATATGCTTAATTTTTTCCTTTGTTTCTCTTGCCCTAGGAGATGTATCAGTGAAAAGTCCACTACGTGGGATGTCTGTGACTTTACTGCCTATGTTTTCTTCCAGGATTTTTATGGTTTCGTGACTTACATTTAAGTCTTCATGGGCTCCTTTTAAACTGTGGCTTATATTTTTTATCACGGAAACAAAAGTGTGAACCCAAAATACCTTCTGCAAATATAGAATTTCAGTTAGAACTTAAAAAAAAAAAAAAGGAACTCCAATTTTTTTGTCTGTCTATTGCTAATCCAGATGACCTTTTTTACTAAGGGACATAATGATTTTTTTTAATTACTTAAGTAAAGACATTTTGAAGGGAAATATGTTGCAAAGGCCCTCACAAGGCATTATGAAATTAAATTCATAAATGTTATTAACTCTATGTTTGAAACTAAGCCTGTCACTTCTTTCCTCTAGACTAACTACGTTTCCTCCATTCTGACATGACCAATTTTGGCTTATGTCAAGGATATTTTAAGTTTGTTTTTAACCATCAATACTTACTTAGTATGCCTACCAGAATACTCTTTAATTTCTAAAGGGGTGATCAGACTTGCCTGCTTTTGAGTTACCTACTCATATCATTAAACATTTGTATCTGAAAAATGGAAAAGGAAAGAAAATGTGCACATCCTATGACCCAGCAGTTCTACTCTTTGGCATGTACTCAACCGTTGTGCTGGCTAATGCAGTAGCCATTAGCCACATGTGGCTACTGAGCCCACAAAATGTGTTTAGACTGCATTGAAATGTGTGGGAAGTGTAAAATACACAGATTTTGAAGGTTTAGTATAAAAAAAATTTAAATACCTCACTTAAATTTATTTAAAAGTGTCGATTATAGTTGAAACAGAAATATTTTGGATAGAATAAAAATTAAATATTATTTTAAAATTTTAAATTAAAAATAGCAAGGTGAATAAAACTTGTTACTAACAGTTGAAACTTTGAATATATGTTGCTGTTAAAAAAAAAACACAAGTCAAAATGGAGTCACTTTGCTAAGCCACGTCACCAAACCAAAGTTTAATGCCTAATCTAATTGCAGTTTTAGCCTCTCCCAAAAGTGGAATTTTGAACCAATCACTCTGGAATTTCCTGATGAAATAGTGAAGTAAGCTGCCTGATAAGAACCCCTACCTTCCCTTAAGAGATGGTGTCCTTGCCTGAAATAAGCCACTCTTTTAGCATCTTTCTGCCTATAAAAACCTTCCATTTTGTACGACTCATGGAATTCCCTTCTGGTTGTGATGCTGCCCAATTCATGACTTAATAAAGCCAAATTTCCTATGTTGAGTTCCATTCTTTAGCATTGCCAAAACAATGCTAACTCTGTTACGTAACACAATTTGTTACAATAATGTACTTTAGATATATTATGAGCACTGATGGATTGATTTGATCATCTAATGTTAATATGTAATATTGTTTTGAAAGGAAAGTTAATTTCCGGATCCAAACAATATATTTATAAATTAACTTTTAGAATATATCTTTTGTCAGTTGGATACTGTGTGTGTCCCATAAGTGTATTTTAATTACCACAATAACATACCCATCATAAACCAGTACAAGGGTTTTGGATGGTATTTCTTGGTTTCTTTAAGGTGTGAGGGTCTAATCAGGAAACAGAAATCTCAGC